TTATTATTATTTATTTATTTATTTTTGACAGGAAGTTTGATTTACTTCCAAAATATGTATTATTGTTAACATTTGGAAACAAAATGTTACTGAAAAGTAACTTCACATTTTATGACTTGTGTCTTATTTAAGATAAAACGATTCTGGGGTTTATAGATAGTAAAAAATTGTTGCCATTGGATTGCAATCTGTTAATTTCAAACCATGTTGACTGTTCTCTGGATCCTTTTGGCATTTTAAATGTGGATTATCAAGTTTGTTAGCAGCACCTATTTACCATTTTGTGCCTTTGGTTGACACTCTTCGTTATTCATGCTATGCAGTCACTATGCTTAATATACTCTTGTGACTTCTGAATTATCAATATATGACCTTTGTTTCTTGGTTTAATGTTGTCAGATTTGCTGAAGAACAAGAGTGCCGGATATCGTGTCTCTGTTATTTTTTTCTTTGGAACTGTCTCGAGTGTTTGAATATATAGCCCTAATGCAAGGGCAAAGGAGTGCTGTGAGTACCTTTTCTGAAAATATATGCTTTGATAGTGAATCCCAATCAAATGATGCTGGCATAGATCAGCAGATATCTTGGAATAACATGCAGGCTTCCTCACAACATCTAATACCAGATTATATGATACCAGCGAGTGATACAAATGTTTCGTATTTGAATTGTGCTAGCCAAGAGGAGAACTTAAGTGGGTGGAATAGAGGTGAAAGTAGTTCAAATGTGGCAATGAGTAACGTTGGTCAAAATGAAAGAGAAACAGAACGCGGATGGCCATCATTGGCGAGTGTCCAGTCTGGAGCAGCTTTCACATTGGAAGAACGGCGATATGAACCCTCAAATATTCTGTCATTGAATAATGTTGATGCAAACTTGAACAGAAACCAGTCTACAAATGGGTATTTGCAAACTACTACCCCTGATTCCCTTCCTCAGGATCTTAACATCAGTTCAAGGTCTTTAGACAATGATGAAGATTGTCAGATTGTGGAGCGTCCTAATGCATACAAATCTGTTGGATCATCAAGTGAGCTGATGCCATCATCTAGTAGTTCATCTTATCCTTTTGGGGTTCCTTCTGGAAGTGGCGGGTCAATGGACAGCTTTGGCAATCCCGGCTGTGCCGTTGATGGACGACGCTTATCATGTAAAAGGAAAGTTCTTGACATAGGGCCGTCTTCTGGATCTGGAAGTTCAAATTATTTTCATCATGCTGAAAGCAGTCTATGGCATGCTTTACCAGCCACACAGCATGCAACAGGCAGCATAAATATGTCTACACCAACAGAGAACAACCTGTTTGTGGGTGCACAAGGCCAGGCAAACCCAAGAAGTGGACCTGGTTTTGGAGTGAATGCTTCAGCAACTCCTCTTAATTCGACTGCCACAGTAACTGCTGAAAGTTCCCGCCCGAATTTCCGCTTGCGGATTACTGGATCACACCAACAAGATTCTTTACCTGGGAATCTGTTTTCTACGGAGGTTGATGTTGGAGATGTAAATGCTTTGTCCTCCCAGCATTCATCGAGACTGCATGCTCGAAATAATGCGTTCTCCCGGCCAGCAACTGCAGCAGAAAACAGAAGTTTTCATGTGCCACCTGCTATCATGCATGTTCCATATGTGCGTCGTAATCCACAGTTGAGGTGGAATGGAACATCTAGCTTGAGAACCAACGGTTCATCAGGTTCTGCTACTACTGGGGAGAGAGGTGCTGTGCTTTGTGAAGAACCTACTGTAAGAAATGTTCCAAGAAACATTTCAGAACATCCTATGTTTGTCCCTCCTATTGATCCAAGAAGTTCATCACAAAATCCTACCAATTGGAGTTTAACCGGTGGAAATACCAATATTGCTGGAAATGTTGCTTCTCCTCCTCCGAGCAGCTCTAGTTCAAGGGTCAATTCATCTGTACCTCCTTGGGTTCCCCATCGTAGTTCTCCACAATATCCAAGGAGACTGTCGGAAATTGTTTGCAGATCTTTGTTGTCTTCAGCAGGTACAGAGTCTGTAGGTCAGAGCAGTACTCATGCAATACAGCATTCCGGTTCTTCTGGTACTCAGGAGACAACACTTTCCTCGGGAACTGATAATCATAGGCATCATCTGTCAAACTTGAGATCCGCAATGTTGTTGGAAAGACACCTTGATGGTGCTTCTGGAGCACCTTATTCACTGCGAACTCTTGCTGCTGCTGGTGAAGGAAGAAGTAGGCTAGTTTCTGAGGTATGTAATTTTAACTTCTGATGTCCTGCAGTTAGTAAACTTTAGTTTGTTAAATTAAAATTTGATATGAAAATTATTTGTAAAAGCACGTGCCCTTTTTTTCCTGGAAAGGTTTGCATTTAAATGCAACTAAACTTATTTTGTTTTAGCAGATTCGCAGTGTTTTGAATCTCATCCGAAGGGGAGAAGGTTTGCGATTTGAGGTTAGTTTTATAGTTCTTGAAAATAAATATGTTGAAATATGCTCTTATCTAGCTCCTAAAAAGTTTTCAAAGATGATTTCTTGTTTGTGTTTTAGTAAATCTGTTTTTCTGAATTCCATGGCTTGTTCTACTCGTATGCTAGGATTTTATGATCCTCGATCAGTCAATCTTTTTTGGGATGGCTGATATTAATGATCGACATAGGGATATGAGGCTTGACGTCGATAACATGTCTTATGAGGTGAGGAAGGACTGTTTAACATTTCACAAGTGATTATAAGGTAAAAAAGTTCATTAGTTTACGTAAAAAAAAGTTGAAATTAACTTACAGGAGTTGTTGGCGCTGGAGGAGCGCATCGGAAATGTTTGTACGGGATTAAATGAAGAAACAATTTTGCGTCGTTTGAAGCAGTGGAAGTATGTAGATGTTCGAACAGAAGGTCGAGTCGAGTCAGAGCCGTGCTGTATATGTCAGGTAGACTTCTTTCTTCTCGAATAAACATGATTGTATGTTTTGTTCTAGAATTCAATGTGTTCGACTTCTTCAACTGCTGTCTTTTTATGCAGGAAGAGTATAAAGACGATGAAGATCTTGGGACACTGGAATGCGGGCATAATTTTCATAGGGAGTGTATTAAGCAATGGCTCATGCAAAAAAATCTATGCCCCATTTGTAAAACTGCGGGGCTCACGACATGAGGTTGTGGTCAGCAATTCCGGTCTCGACTTTGGGGGCAGAACTCCTATTTATTTCGTTGAGTTTATTTAAACATCCTTGTGAAGTACAGACTGATCCAGAAAGTGAAAGTAGAACTCCTTTTAAGTTTAATTTAGCTAAGAATTATGTTTATTAACGGAAATTCAACAATTTATTTATTTATTTATTGTTATTGAACCTTCAAGATATTTTATTTTTATTTTTATTTTTATCTTTCCTGCATTATGTTTGAATTTATTACAAGTTTTTGCTGTAATTTTCTTCTTGAATTCAATGATGAGATAGCTGTGCAAGGCATAAATGACATGAAGAGAGTTGTGAGTGTTCACGAAGTATACATTTTTTTATAAGCAATGCTATTTATTATCAGTTTAGGTGTTAGCGTTCCATCTACATTTGCCTAATGAAATTAAGTCCTCCTTTTGAGGCCCTTTTTTCATACAAAATGGATCTCGTAATAGTCATTTTTGGAGATTGTGGTTAGAAAGTAGGTAAAAATTTAGGATTTACGTGTAAATTATTTTATTAAAAGAATGGGTGGTCGAAAAATGAGTTAAAGCAAAGGCTAAAATGTATTTTAAATTATTGGATAAGCCTAAGCGAGCCTTCATAGTCATTTAGATGGGTGCCAAAAACTATTGAGTGTTGGCTTGTAGTATTCATTTTTATAGGTTGTTTATGCTTGGTATTCTTGTTGGGGTCGGTTCAGGTTCACATTCAAGATAGATGGTGACCAAGATAAGTTAGGTTTGAAGTATAAAGGTCCTCTGGCTTTATTTGGCTAGCTTGGCTCGATCCAAGCTCAACAATTCAAGATGCTTTGCTCAAAATAAGCTTGACAGTTCAAGATTGATTGTTTCACGTGTAGATCTATCTAGATAGGTGGTCCGTATTAATCAATACGAAGTATTCAACATTGTTTTTACTCAAAATCATTCTCATAGTTTTGATTTCCATTTACAAAGGGAATTCATTCTTTAATATTTCTAGTGTTTATAGAGCGTGGGGGGAGGGGAGGTGAACCTTTATTTATTTTTTATTTTTTGGGGTCATGAAGGGCTACTCTTATTAATTCAAAAGTGTTGCCCAAAATTAAATTTGAAAGAAAAAGTGGAATACAATAGTTAGCTCATGGGCCACGCTATTTTCTTCTATGAGAATAGAGCGACAAGAGCAATGAACCACGAAGGGAAATAACGTTCACATGTATTAGATATTCTTGATAATATTGTGGCGATAAAATATTTCAATTACATTTTAAAAAAGGAATAGTTTATTTATGAAGAGGTTTTTTTAGATCGACTTGTTCATTTGGACAAAGCCCTATCAAGTTTTGTTTGGTCATGCCAAACTTGTCATAGACGAGGTTATGCATGAAATGGACAAGTTTTTACAGACAAGTGGCCATATCCCAAATGAAGGTTGGATTCTCTTGGATCTAGACGGTCTAATATACTCAGAAGCGTCAAATTTTATTAACGAGTTTATTTATTTTGACTACTAGATGAACTAAATTGAAGGATACAAAAGCAATAAGGGGGCTCTATAGATTCAAAAATCTTAAAATTTCAAAGTTAATAATCATCTGTAAATAAGCCAAATGCTTATGCATTTATTAGGAAATGAGTGGGAGAAAAATTGAAAAAAAGTGATCGTCAATGATTAAAAATTCGTATAGAAAACAAGTTCAGGGACTTGTTTGTTAATATGGAAACAACACTATAATTAAGGCGGGAGAACTAACAAATTAAACGTTATTATTAATAAGTGTTAAATACCCATGTCCCCAAACTTTCATCTATGTTTCTATTGTGTCCCTGAACTTCAAATAGTTTCTACTCAGCCATTAAACTTTCAAATTTCAATCACTTCCATCAACTCTAACTCTCATGCTATTGGCAGAAATTTTGCAAGGAACTCTAAGATATGGACGCATTGAATTTTTGTATATTTTTTTTTCCTGTAAGAAAAGTGTGTTTTTATTACATGACGATAAGAGTGATTTATGCAATGGCCGATCTGGACAAAAGCAGTGAATCAGAAGATATATCTTCCTTTTTCCAGGAATTTCTCTACAATTCTCCTACATATACTACGAATTCCAGGCTTGCAATCTTTATCTATATCGTGAATTATTAATAATTTTTGGAAGAAAGTGGAACTACGTCAATCTGTAAATTTTTAGTATTTTCCTTTTTGAAATGTAAAAGCACGTGCCCTTTTTTTCCTGGAAAGGTTTGCATTTAAATGCAACTAAACTTATTTTGTTTTAGCAGATTCGCAGTGTTTTGAATCTCATCCGAAGGGGAGAAGGTTTGCGATTTGAGGTTAGTTTTATAGTTCTTGAAAATAAATATGTTGAAATATGCTCTTATCTAGCTCCTAAAAAGTTTTCAAAGATGATTTCTTGTTTGTGTTTTAGTAAATCTGTTTTTCTGAATTCCATGGCTTGTTCTACTCGTATGCTAGGATTTTATGATCCTCGATCAGTCAATCTTTTTTGGGATGGCTGATATTAATGATCGACATAGGGATATGAGGCTTGACGTCGATAACATGTCTTATGAGGTGAGATTAATTCAAAAGTGTTGCCCAAAATTAAATTTGAAAGAAAAAGTGGAATACAATAGTTAGCTCATGGGCCACGCTATTTTCTTCTATGAGAATAGAGCGACAAGAGCAATGAACCACGAAGGGAAATAACGTTCACATGTATTAGATATTCTTGATAATATTGTGGCGATAAAATATTTCAATTACATTTTAAAAAAGGAATAGTTTATTTATGAAGAGGTTTTTTTAGATCGACTTGTTCATTTGGACAAAGCCCTATCAAGTTTTGTTTGGTCATGCCAAACTTGTCATAGACGAGGTTATGCATGAAATGGACAAGTTTTTACAGACAAGTGGCCATATCCCAAATGAAGGTTGGATTCTCTTGGATCTAGACGGTCTAATATACTCAGAAGCGTCAAATTTTATTAACGAGTTTATTTATTTTGACTACTAGATGAACTAAATTGAAGGATACAAAAGCAATAAGGGGGCTCTATAGATTCAAAAATCTTAAAATTTCAAAGTTAATAATCATCTGTAAATAAGCCAAATGCTTATGCATTTATTAGGAAATGAGTGGGAGAAAAATTGAAAAAAAGTGATCGTCAATGATTAAAAATTCGTATAGAAAACAAGTTCAGGGACTTGTTTGTTAATATGGAAACAACACTATAATTAAGGCGGGAGAACTAACAAATTAAACGTTATTATTAATAAGTGTTAAATACCCATGTCCCCAAACTTTCATCTATGTTTCTATTGTTTCCCTGAACTTCAAATAGTTTCTACTCAGCCATTAAACTTTCAAATTTCAATCACTTCCATCAACTCTAACTCTCATGCTATTGGCAGAAATTTTGCAAGGAACTCTAAGATATGGACGCATTGAATTTTTGTATATTTTTTTTTCCTGTAAGAAAAGTGTGTTTTTATTACATGACGATAAGAGTGATTTATGCAATGGCCGATCTGGACAAAAGCAGTGAATCAGAAGATATATCTTCCTTTTTCCAGGAATTTCTCTACAATTCTCCTACATATACTACGAATTCCAGGCTTGCAATCTTTATCTATATCGTGAATTATTAATAATTTTTGGAAGAAAGTGGAACTACGTCAATCTGTAAATTTCATGACTCAATCCGTAAATAGAGTTTAAACACCAAAGGAAATTTCAATTAACAATTGTACACTGCACTCGAACAAAATTTTACTAATTTTGATTACATTAGTTACTGATTGTCTTCTTATTGAAACAAAAAAGCATATCTAACTAGTCGGCATCTCGAAACGGCAAACTGGGCAATAGTGACTTGTCCTTAACCACTGCTCGATGCAATTGGAATGAAACATATGCGAACAAGGCATAGTTACAGCTTCTGACCCTTTGGAAAACTTATCGAGGCATACCGTGCAACTTCCAAGATCATCGTAGTCATCTTCTATTATCTTCCTCTCGAGAGATTTGATCGATGAATCAATAGCAGGAACCATACTGTTTCCATTGCTTCCCTCTAGTGATTCAGGAATGCGATCACTAACATCGTTTGAATTAACGTGATAACGAACAACGTAAGCATCTACATACAAAATTAAAAGGTTGTGATTCCGAGACATTGATTTAGCAAATTCCCATGCTCGAAAAATCACTTTGCGGATCAGATCCTCACGCTGAGAATTGAAGAGAGGCCAAAATCTAACGACACGGAGGATAACTTCGCGAGTCTTGCAAAAGCTCAGAAATTGCTCAGGTTTGATGGAAATACTATTTGAAATTCTGGGCAGTTGAAGTTCTGTCATGACTCGCTGTGTAGAAGATTCTTCGTAGTTGATCGAACGCAAGGTAGTATTGCAAGAAAAATTAATATTGACTCCAACAGAGGACGGCTGATCATGGAACGTAACTGATTCTTCTCCTACTTTCGTAGTCTTAAACTGCAGATTTGTGTTGGAGTGAATGTTAGTATCCATGTTAAAGATCTTGAACAAGAATACAGATTGCGAGATAGATGAAAGTAGATTATCTTTTGGGGAAATAATGAAACGACCAAAGGGACAGTATATATATAGGGTTTTTGGAGTGATTTCGTTTTTGGTAAACTTTCCTTGTCCGAGTACAGAAGGAAATCAGTGTAATCATATTAGGAGATTTTAACTTTCTGGACAAACAAAGGAAAGTTACCATATTTTTTTCTCTCTCTCTCTCTCTCCCTTTTTTTTTTTTTTTTTTTTTTTTTTAC